GAACTATACGTTCACGATGAATGGCCGTATGTTAAACCCTCTCGGATATCCGATACAGCCAATCCTTAGTGCGTTATGCGAAGCTTAAGCGACAGTCTCGACGTGCAATTATACGAAGCATACAAACATGTATTTATTATATAAAATAACCGTTTACAAATAAAGAAATACTTAACTTGTACGAAATATGAGTGCTTCTTGCAAAAATTACGATTACGCCAAATTTTCACTCGCACCATTGTTAGGATAGCGACACTCGTAGAATTAGTCACAAAATCTGGCGCACCAGGAGGATCCTTTGGGGAGCACTTCGATTTCGAAGCGTTCGCGCACATTTTAATCAATAGGTGGTTCCACCTCGTCCTGGAAAATATAAATAAAACTACTTTTGCACACCAACAAAACGTTCTTCGAGACTCCTCTCTTTGCCGCGGCATAGCACTGTGACAACGCGTACAAAGAAGACACATGGAAAATTACGATAGCGAAGGGAAAATGTGGAGTGAGCCACGTGTGACTATAAAAGCAGAGACAATCTCGATTTCTCTGTAACGTGGTGAAAAAATAAAGATTCTCAGTAGAAAACTGAAATTTTCTTCGTGAGCAAACGACGTGTTTTTGAAGAGTAAAAAATTCGATATATCACACTTGCATCATAAATGGGAACCTACCGACATTGAAAATATCCATCACTTTCATTATTAATTACACACAACGTGAAGTGTAACAAGCAACAAATTATGCAATAATGTTCACTGTACAAATATGAACATTACGAATGCACAGAAAGGTGCCAGCCATCCATCATCACCGTACACAATACTTTTTCATTTATCCTCATACCGGCATTGTCATCGTTAGATTAATTAACACACGATAGAAAGTTATTACGCAGACCTCACTTTTAAAGTACCAGTGTACACGACAACCGAGGACATACGGGCAATTCAGTGGCGAAGTGTCGGGGCTATAGCTCCATGGTAAAAGAGTTGACTGTTCCATTTAAGTCGTAGGTAATATTATTCCCTTAAATTAGAGATTCTTTAATAAACGAGAGGATTTACAGGTGGAAAATATGGACCGTACGACGCTGTTTCTCTTTCTTTTATTCTTGATCGAACGCGTCAATGGCCAAAATGGGCCAATAGTGCAGACCCTAAATGGCTTGGTTCGTGGTACCTACAACACCACAATATGGAAGTCGATGCCATTTTCGTCGTTCAGGGGAATCCCTTACGGGAAACCACCTGTTGGTGAACTCAGATTTCAAGTAATATTCTTACCTTCGTCTATCAGCTGTTTTCTGTCGTCTCAAATAGACAAAAAAGTGTCGAATTTATTGTACAACAGCCGCCAGTTCCTGTTGATCCATGGGGAGGAATCCTGGAGGCCACTTCAACGCCCAATCCGTGTCCACAATTTGAGGATATGTCGCAAATTCTGATGGGTCGCGAGGATTGCTTGTACCTCAACGTGTATACACCTGTTGTAAATACACTGCTTTTTCTTATTAAAAATTTTACGAGAGTCATTGAATTTTGGAGTCTATTTAAATGTCTTTTGTGACAGACAAACTTCATGCCACCACTGAAGCTGATACCAGTTATGGTCTGGATATATGGCGGCAGCTTTACAACCGGTCACAGCAACGACACCTTGTATGGACCTCGCCTTATGATAGAACGCGACGTCGTTATAGTTACCTTCAATTATCGCGTCGGTCCTTTAGGTAAATCGGGGGGAATTTGGCGAAACTAAGGGGAAATTATAGAAAGTGTTTCATCTACAATGAACATCACTTTTATTTCCACTGGTATTGGAAGTAAGAATCTAGGCATGATAAAAAAATAATGAAACGACGGAGGAATAAGAAGAAATAATAAGTATAATATGCAAAAAAATGTCGATGGCCTTGAAGTGAGCTTCAAGATGACCATCAAGGAATCTTCTTTAATCGTAAACTCCTTTGGTCGTCTTTTCTTACTTTCAATAATCCAGATGTTCGTTAAAAGTGGGACACTTCTTCAATACGGAAAATCACTTCCTTCCAGGTTTCCTATCGCTGAACCATTCAAAAGCTCTGGGCAACGCAGGTCTGAAGGATCAATATCTGGTGCTGCAATGGGTGAAGAAGAATATCGCCGCGTTTGGCGGAGATCCTAATCAGGTCACTATATTTGGGGAGAGCGCTGGATCTGTATCTGTTGGTTACCACGTATTATCAGAAAAAGCAGCTGGTGCGTACGAGATTGTTCGAACCTGACGTTACATGCTAGCACACTTATCTTTTTTCTTCTCTCGTTTTCCTCAATCAGGTCTGTTTTCGAAGGCGTTCTTAATGAGCGGCACACCACTGTGTCAATGGGCCCATCAAACTGCCAAAGATAACTTGATCAATGCGAAGCAGCTTGCTGCTCTGCTCGGTTACGCGGCCCCAACTACCGAAGACCTGTTGGACTTCCTTCTTCAAGTGCCTGCTTTGGATCTCGCAATCGCAACTGCAAATCTGGTAACAATCGATAGCGGCAATACGATATTGGGTCGTGTGATCAACATCGTTGGAACGTAGCAAATGTTCCATTCAGAAAATACAAGTGAAATTAGGAGAAGAAGAATACAATTCTTTTTGCAAGGTCATCTTCTACTTGCAAGTACATTTGTCAGTACGTGTTTTTAGGCGCGAATTGAAACGAGACTTTGTACAACTAATCGTGTGTTCGAAATATTTTTGTAGCGTAGGAACCGACGACGGAAAAATATTGAGGGACCCAACGGGAATCGAACCCGGGACCTTCGACTTAGCAAGCCGAGGCTTTGCGAGCTACGCCAACCACTCCCTCCCTATTCTCCCGTGTCGGTTTCCTATTTTTGGGTATTGAGGCCCCGATACTACAGTAGTATCAGTGTGTGTAAGATTACATCACCAGATTGAGTTAGGTTTGGGTCAGATAGATTTCGGATTTACACATGTTGATTCGTGTTTTCTGAATAGGACATTTGCGGTAGCACTACGACCCAACAGGCGTGGGCCGAAATGCTATAGTGCAGCCTCGATAACATCGAACGCGATGATTTTAAGCAAAAGTGAAAATGAAAGACGCATCGGTAATTATGTACTTACTGTTTCTCCATTTTCAGTCAGTGACGCATCCACTTCCATTCAGACCCGTCATAGAGAACACCACGTTGGATTATAATAACACGGCGTACATAACAGAGTGTTCCGCGGTGAAGTATCATACTGGAAGGTTCAACAAAGTGCCAACGATGATGGGCTACATGCACGACGAGGCGATCTATTTCCTCTTCTGTGAGTAACGCTTCATTTTCAATTTCGTATTACAGTACTCGATTGTTGAACAACGTCTGTTCCGTAGATTTCCTCCATTCGTCGAATCCCATCCACGATGCCATCTCATTTTTCGAAAATATGGATAATTTGACTGGTAACGCGTTGATCAGCGCTTTAAACAATACGGTGCAAATCGAGGTTGACTTGTATTCAACGGTAATTACGTTAAATTGCAGAGAAAAGTTCGAATGTTAAGAGTATATGGGAGGTTACCGTTCGTAAGAGCGTACCGCCTATAGTCGCGTTCGAATATTTCCTGTTCAAGGTCACATAGTCGCGATACAGAGTTTCTTTTTGCTTTAGATTGGAACGGACCTGTTCTTCATCAGCCCGATAGATCTAACTCAGCAATTGTTGGCTGCGAATAACAGCGGCAATCCCATTTACTATTATCGACAATCTTACCAATCGCCTTACTTGTGGCACAGGTATTACCTCGGAGTGCCCTTCAACGGTGAGTTTCTACAATCTTGTTTGCTACGTGGTAACGTAAGTTCGTGACGAAAAAGAAAATTTTTTATTGAAAATCCTAGAATATTCAATAGCGACGACATAATGGTCCTGTGGCGAGTACGTCACTACCAACAAGCCCTTACCGAGCCTTATTCTATTCTTCCACGCGAACTTCCTCTTTTCCAACTCCTTCAGATTTTAGTTTCCGTTCTTTTCCCTCTCCCCGGGTTAAGACTTGCCTTCGACCTCGAGTAGCCTAAGAAGCACACATGTGGCATCCAGGTTCGCACGAGGACGAACGGCTTTCTACAAATTTTCCGTTTCCACCACTTTCTCTACTTCTATCTTTATCTGTCTCTACTCCTGTCTCCCTGTCCTAACAATATAGAAACCTCAGTTCAGTTTTTCTTCTGCCAACCGTCGAGACGTACCCGCCGAATCACTGCCGTAGGGACGATTACCGAATAAAACGATTGCATTTCCCGGGTGAATTGTACGCCGGCCATAGCACTTAGATCTTAATAAATTGAGGTGAGAACAGTACAACGGCGTTCCTCACCCACCTCGGTCTTACCAAAAATAGTAGGAAAAAGTTGTGGACTTAAAAAGCGTTTACTCGTTGGGAATATTGATCTAAATTATAAAATTCGACGCGAACTTACGAGACGACCTAATATTTACTTAAGTTTTGAAATAGGAAATATACGAAGGATAATCTGTGTTGGTACAAATGTTAGGTGCTGCCCACTTCGACGACATTCCGTACATATGGGAGACAGATATAATACCAGTACCTACCGATCCTAACGATCCTTATTACCAGTTCCTGCAAGCAATGGTAGGCATGACCACCAATTTTGCAAAGTACGGGTACGTATCTCGTTAATCGACAACGAAACTTGACGTTAATCCTTTTTCTGGTGCAATTGGAAATTTTTATTCCCCCTTTTCTCTCGTGATTCTAGAAATCCTACACCGGAAGGCAATTCTCCGATAGGCATAACGTGGACGCCATCAGGCGTGGAGGGATTACAGATAGATCTGAACAGTACGTTCACGATGAACAACCGTCTGGCGGATGATAACGCTTTGTTGTTCGAGCCGATCCTAAGCGCATCGTGTATCTAAATTGATTCGATTACTTCGTTGAGAAATGGAAAAATTAAGATGTACTTAGCAAACAGAAGTTGCAGAGAAATAAAGATTTCAAGTGCTTGAGAAATGTGTGTACTTTGTAAATTAAAGGATTAAATTATGACACCGATTCGAGCTCCTTTTCTCCTTTTCTCCTTCTGTGGATTCCGTTTAGTCCAATAGGTATACTCAGACTACTCGGTAATTTTCATGATAGATTGTTAAATTGAAGAGTGCGAATGAAAATTTAAGTATCGAAGTTAGAGTGCGAAGTTAAACCTCGAATAAACGAAAATATCTTCTTGGACTTGGCGTGAATCGATATGTGGAGACAGTTATGGACACAAAAGTTTAGACGACGCTTACGTCTTAGATAAGAAGATAAATCTTATCGAAAGAGAATAGAACCCAATCTTGCTTACGGTTGGAGCTCTAAAATTGAGCTTCTTAGACATGGTGTTCCATGCAACTTGCGTAAACGGTTGGAAATAGAGAAACTATTACAGATCAGAGTTAAATGGTAACGGACGGTGAATCAGAAAAATGCGATAATCCCATCTTTTTAAATGGAAACCTACGTTTTTCACTGCACCGATTGATGCAGCTTTTTGTGCTCTTATTATACAATTACTATATTATTATACGAAATAACGATTTACCAATAAATAAATATTCGTCTTCTTTGAAATATGTGTACTTCTTGTAAAAATTACAATTGCACCAAGTTTTCACTCGCACCATGACAACGTATACAAAGAGGACCCATGGAAAATTACGATAGCGAAGGAAAAATGCGGGTTGAGCCACGTGTGGCTGCAAGAGCAGAGAAAATCTCGATTTCTCTGTAACGTGGTGAAAAAATAAAGATTCTCAGTAGAAAACTGAAATTTTCTTCGCGAGCATACGATATGCTTTTGAAAGGTAAAATATTCGATATATCACACTTGCATCATAAATGGGAACCTACCGACATTGAAAATATCCATCACTTTCATTATTAATTACACACAACGTGAAGTGTAACAAGCAACAAATTATGCAATAATGTTCACTGTGCAAATATGAACATTACGAATGCACAGAAAGGTGTCAGCCATCCATCATCACCGTACACAATAATCTTCCATTTATTCTCACACCGGCATTGTCATCGTTAGATTAATTAACACACGGTAGAAAGTTATTACGTAGTTCTCACTTATAAAGTACAAGTGTATCGGACAACCGAGGACAGACACGCAACTCTGTTGCAAAGTGTCGAAACTACAGTTCTGTCGCAGAAGGATTGATTCTTCCATTGAAGTTCTAGGTAATATTACTTCCTTATACTAAAGATTCTTTAATAAACAAGCTTGTAAACCGAAGAGGATTTACAGATGATAAATATGGACCGTACGACGCTGTTTCTCTTTCTTTTATTCTTGATCGCACGCGTTAATGGCCAAGATGGGCCAATAGTGCAGACTCTAAATGGCTTGGTTCGTGGTACCTACAACACCACAATATGGAAGTCGATGCCATTTTCGTCGTTCAGGGGAATCCCTTACGGGAAACCACCTGTTGGTGAACTCAGATTTCAAGTAATATTCTTACCTTCGTCTATCAGCTGTTTTCTGTCGTCTCAAATAGACAAAAAAGTGTCGAATTTATTGTACAACAGCCGCCAGTTCCTGTTGATCCATGGGGAGGAATCCTGGAGGCCACTTCAACGCCCAATCCGTGTCCACAATTTGAGGATATGTCGCAAATTCTGATGGGTCGCGAGGATTGCTTGTACCTCAACGTGTATACACCTGTTGTAAATACACTGCTTTTTCTTATTAAAAATTTTACGAGAGTCGTTGAATTTTCGAGTCTATTTAAATGTATTTTGTGACAGACAAACTTCACGGGACCACTGAAGCTGATACCAGTTATGGTCTGGATATATGGCGGCGGCTTCACAACCGGTCACAGCAACGACACCTTGTATGGACCTCGCCTTATGATAGAACGCGACGTCGTTACTTTTTCTTATTAAAAATTTTACGAGAGTCGTTGAATTTTGGAGTCTATTTAAATGTATTTTGTGACAGACAAACTTCACGGGACCACTGAAGCTGATACCAGTTATGGTCTGGATATATGGCGGCGGCTTCACAACCGGTCACAGCAACGACACCTTGTATGGACCTCGCCTTATGATAGAACGCGACGTCGTTATAGTTACCTTCAATTATCGCGTCGGTCCTTTAGGTAAATCGGGGGGAATTTGGCGAAACTAAGGGGAAATTATAGAAAGTGTTTCATCTACAATGAACATCACTTTTATTTCCACTGGTATTGGAAGTAAGAATCTAGGCATGATAAAAAAATAATGAAACGACGGAGGAATAAGAAGAAATAATAAGTATAATATGCAAAAAAATGTCGATGGCCTTGAAGTGAGCTTCAAGATGACCATCAAGGAATCTTCTTTAATCGTAAACTCCTTTGGTCGTCTTTTCTTACTTTCAATAATCCAGATGTTCGTTAAAAGTGGGACACTTCTTCAATACGGAAAATCACTTCCTTCCAGGTTTCCTATCGCTGAACGATCCAAAAGCTCTGGGCAACGCAGGTCTGAAGGATCAATATCTGGTCCTGCAATGGGTGAACAAGAATATCGCCGCGTTTGGCGGAGATCCTAATCAGGTCACTATATTTGGGGAGAGCGCTGGATCTGTATCTGTTGGTTACCACGTATTATCAGAAAAAGCAGCTGGTGCGTACGAGATTGTTCGAACCTGACGTTACATGCAAGCACACTTATCTTTTTTCTTCTCCCGTTTTCCTCAATCAGGTCTGTTTTCGAAGGCGTTCTTAATGAGCGGCACACCAATGTGTGAATGGTCCATTCAAACGGCCGAAGATAACTTGATCAGTGCGCAGCAGCTTGCCCTTCTGCTCGGTTACGCGGCCCTAACTACCGAGGACCTGTTGGACTTCCTTCTTCAAGTGCCTGCTTTGGATCTCGCAACCGCAACTGCAAATCTGGTAACAATCGATAATAACAGTACTGTGATACGTACGACCCAATAGGCGTGGATCCAAATACTGTAGTTCAGCCTCGATAACATCGAACGCGATGATTTTAAGCAAAAGTGAAAATGAAAGACGCATCGGTAATTATGTACTTACTGTTTCTCCATTTTCAGTCAATGACGCATCCACTTCCATTCAGACCCGTCATAGAGGACCCCGCGTTGGATTATTATAACACGGCGTACATAACAGAGTGTTCCGTGATGAAGTATCATACTGGAAGGTTCAACAAAGTGCCAACGATGATGGGCTACATGCACGACGAGGTGATCTTCTTCCTCTACAGTGAGTAACGCTTGATTTTTCATTTCGTATTACTGTACCCGACTGTTGAACAACGTCTGCTTCGTAGTTTTCCTCCGATCGGCAACTCCCATCCAGGATGCCATCGCATATTTGGAAAAGATGGATAAATCAGCCAGTAACGTGTTTCCTACCTTAGTAAACGTTACGGACGAAGTTGCGCTTGAGGTGTATAAAAAGGTAATTACGTTAAATTGCAGAGAAAAGCTCGAATTTTGAGAATATACTGTAAAGGACGTTCGTAGAAGCGTACCGCCTATAGTCGCGACCGAATATTTCCTGCTCAAGGTCACAGAGTCCCTGTACCCCCACCACATCTCAATATTGAATAGACGCAGCTTTTTATCTTATTCACGTCTCTTTTTGCTTCTGCTTTAGGTTGGAACAGACTTGTTCTTCATAAGTCCGATAGATCTAACTCAGAAAATGTTGGCTGCCAATAACAGCGGCAATCCCATTTTCTTTTATCGACAATCTTACGAAGCACCTTATTCATGGCACAAGGATTACCTGAGGATACCCTTCAGTGGTGAGTTTTCACAAACTTGTTTGCCGCGTAGAAAAATATTTTAACGAAAATTTCAGGAAATTCTATAGCGACGACGTAATGGTCCTATCGAAAACAGTAGGAAAAAGTAGCTTACGTCTTTTTTTATCAAATTTAAGTGTTCGTTGAAAATATTGATCTGAATTATACAATTCCACACGAACTTATGGGATCACCTAATGCTATGACAATCTGTGTTGGTACAAATATTAGGTGCTGCCCACTTCGACGACATTCCGTACATATGGGAGACAAATGCAATACCAGTACCTACCGATCTTAACGATCCTTATTACCAGTTCCTGCAAGCGATGGTAGACATGACCACCAATTTTGCCAAGTACGGGTACGTATCTCGTTAATCGACAACGAAACTTGACGTTAATCCTTTTTCTGGTGTAATTGGAAATTTTTATTCCCCCTTTTTTCTCGTGATTCTAGAAATCCTACACCGGAAGGTAATTCTCCGATAGGCATAACGTGGACGCCATCAGGCGAGGAGGGATTACAGATAAATCTGAACAGTACGTTCACGATGAACAACCGTCTGGCGAATGATAACGCTTTGTCGTTCGAGCCGATCCTAAGCGCATCGTGTATCTAAATTGATTCGATTACTTCGTTGAGAAATGGAAAAATTAAGATGTACTTAGCAAGCAGAAGTTGCAGAGAAATAAAGATTTCAAATCTTTAAGGAACGTGTATATTTTGAATCGAAGAATTAAATTACGATCACCGATTCGAGCTCCTTTTCTCCTTTCATCCTTCTGTGGATATCCTTTAGCCCAATAGGTACTCGGAAACTTTTCATTTTCGAATTCACTCTAATCGAGCTATAACCGTTATTTTATCGAATACAACTATTCAGGAGTACGTTCTTAAAGAGTTGTACTTTCGATATATGCAAAAAAATAAAAATCGTCACACTAGAAAACCCCCTTAGTTTAAGACACAATCCGAGTGTTACCGTGACACAAGAAACGAGAAAAACGTGACTCACACTCTTTTATAACAGTAAAGCGAAAGAACCATCGAAGGTAAATACAGAAAAGCCGGACGTGTGACTGTAATTAACCGTTATTTCCATATTTTCCTTATTTAGATAGTCGCTGTTTAAGTATTAATACCGGCGTTTCGCGTCGACAGTGCCATAAACCGAGAAACGTGAAATATGCAAGAATGTTGGATCGCAAACGGATTATTTGCTCGATAAAATTGCGAACAGTCGAACGAGTAGAATATCGATAGAATAGTTGACGGAAGATTTTTCTTTAAAAAATTACTTCAAAGTTACATTGTTGCAAGTGTGCAACTAGCGACAGGTGTACGTTCGAAACGGTACGCTACTAATTAGAACATACCAGACGCAAGTGTCTGGTCACATTACCCATACGTACAATAGGATGATCTCGAATGTTCCAAAGATGCTCGGACTCGATTACCACCCTGAATAATAGCCTTTCGTCGATTTTCACACTGAAACCATTGTCATCGTTTAATTACCCACTCTCAATGGGAGATCATTGCGCAACGTTCACTTTAAAAACAGCACGGTGCTCGATATCTGGCGAATTTAGACAGAGATCGGTGCAAAGTACCGGAACCACAGCTACAAAGGGTTGTCTTTAAGGGTTCACCGTTTTAGAGTGATACAGTACGCAGACCGTTGACCGGTGACCGTTATAGTACGCAGAGAAGAAAAATCAAGGCTTGAATTAAGTGTGCCAAAAAGCGTCAATGTAACAGTGCGAGAAAATTTTTAGGCAGCCTATAGGCGTCAAGGACACAGTGTGAGAAAATATTTAAAACGCCTATAAGCGCCAAAGTCACAGTGCGAGAAAATATTTAAATTGCCTATGGGCCCTAAGGTCCCATATTTAAATCGCCTATGCGCCCTAAGGTCCCATATTTAAATCGCCTATGGGCCCTAAGGTCCCATGTTTAAATCGCCTATGCGCCCTAAGGTCCCATATTTAAATCGCCTATGGGCCCTAAGGTCCCATGTTTAAATCGCCTATGGGCCCTAAGGTCCCATATTTAAATCGCCTATGGGCCCCAAGGTCCCATATATTTAAATCGCCTATGGGCCCCAAGGTCCCATATTTAAATCAGACATCAGACATCGAAAGACGATACAAATTTCTGTCGAACAACCTTTCTTTGCAGCCCTCTACACCGGAGCCCAGAGCAGCAACGTCGAAGATCTCTTGGATTACCTGAGTAAGATCGATCCTTTCACTGCTGAGACTGCTAAATCGAACATTCGAACGCTGAAAATACTTGATATACTCTACTTTCATAATTACTCTACGTTAACCTTGAGCTTGAATATATTCGCCTCAGACTATAGAACCGGCGGTTCGCTCGTTACGCGTCTGCGTTTCATTTTTCACAGGCAGGAACGGACCGATAGACGAAACCCAGAAACAGCTGGCCGAAGCATCCGTTTCACGAAGTAATAGCAAACGTTACCCATCCTGGTGAGTTCTCGTCGAAATCTCTCCTGTTGAAACGTCGAACACGGGGGAAAATATGTAATCTTCGTGTGAATTTTAGGTGTCGCTCATTTCGACGACATTCCACTTCTGTACGACATGGTTCATCTGCCAACACCCACTGATCCGAACGATCCTGACTATCAGACCAGATACAAGATGGCCACTATGTTCGCCAATTTCGCAAAGTACGCGTAAGTATCTCGTTAGACTATAACGAAACTTGTATCGAAATTTGTATCGTTAATTGTAAATTTTGTCTCGTGCTCCCAGAGATCCAACACCGGCTAGTAACAATCCGATAAACATAGCGTGGACACAATCGGGAGTAGATGGATATCAGATCGACCTGAACGTAACGTGCACTATGAACAACCGTTAGGCTGACGAGACGGCACAAACTTACGGGTCGATCCTGTATCAAACGTGTTACTAAATTTGTCGAATCACTTCTATGTGAAATCGAGTCGTAGAGAATGCATATAGAAAACGAAAGAGGCGTAGAAATAAATATTTAGTTCATTCGAAACGTGTGTATACCTTGAAAATCCTAACCTTTGAATTCTAGTAAAACACATGAAGTACATGAATTAATTTCTATCTTTCTCCTTTAGAAATAATCCACTTTCGTTCAAACACACTGTCGCGAACACCGCTGTGGATTTTTATACGTATCAGCTATAAAGACGTAGCGCCTATAGCCGCGACCGATTCTTCTGCCGGTTCAAGGTCGCAGATGCGCGCTACCCCCACCACTACTCTTCAAATTAAACTATCGAGGATTACACTATTTAGTGCTTTAATTCATAACTTCATTATATACAAGCTTCTAATTACACATATTTGTTACAGGTCTGAGAACTTTATTTATTTACATATTTTCCTAAATTCGAATAGATACACCTGCAGGGTGACTCACAAGTCGCTTCACCATTTCAAAATTTAATTCAATTTCACCGTTAAAATTTTTGTGACCATTTCACTGTTTCAATTTTTATCGTATATTTGAAAATTTTTGCCCACAACTAGCAATAATAATTGTATTCCACGCGACTCACAAGTCATATCACCATTTCAAAATTCAATAAACTATTTTCCACTTCATTTTCCAAAATTTTTGTTTCAAATTTTCAAAAACAGTTTCTTCAAATTTCACCTTAGAACGATAATTGATAACAGATAACAGATACGATAACAGAGATAACAACGATAACAGATTTCCCAAAAAATGGAAGTTACACATTAAGAAACGATCCACTGATCTTGACCCGGCGTATTCGCCGCACACCAGCCAACAGATGCTGACAGATTCGCTATTATAGTAACAATAAGATGGTAAATTCCACGGATCTTATCTTCGCCGATAAATGAACGCAAACAAAACCGGCGAACGCGAACTGTATACCTACGCTACGCGTTACGCTTTCAGCAACAATAAATGTTGCTGTTACCACTTCAAGTATAGTAACAATAAGATGGTAAATTCCACGGATCTTATCTTCGCCGATAAATGAACGCAAACAAAACCGGCGAACGTGAACTGTATACCTACGCTACGCGTTACGCTTTCAGCAACAATAAATGTTGCTGTTACCACTTCACCGGTAAACATTTGCCAACTCTAGGCTTCTTGGTGGGCAATTCGTAACACATTCCAAACTCCTACAGTTTCTCGCGAAAACAGGAAACCGCGAATTCGCGTAATTGGACCTGGTTTATCGGTGATCATTTCACAAGCGGAGAAATGGTCCGCGAAGAATGCAAAACCGATATCGTAACGTACATAAAACAGCGGATTCCTTGCTAAACTCGTTCCCGATCGACACATTTCTTTCCACGAGAACTTCGGCCAACCTTCCTACGCAACAGAACTGTTTTTCTGCGATTAGAAAGGTCTTCGAAGCTATCGGGAAACGTTTATCTGGGTTAATTTTGCGAAGTAAACGTGACACTTTTGGGCCGTTTTCACGAGAGACGACGAGGAGATTATTAATCGAGGGGATTGTTCGGTTAAATGAGTTAATCTGTGTTTAAAGCGCGCTCCGTGCTTCGCGGAACTTTGTACGAGTTGAAGTTTGGGTATACAGGGTGATGCGTAAGTTGGAAAATTGAAAAATTGAAAATTATTGTATATAAAAAAAATAATTTACGCAACGAGGAAAAAATATGACACGGTAATATTCTGAGTGGATAAACTGTGCTCGATGTTTGTCTTTTAAAAGGGACGATGAAGATTTGGAGGACTTACGACGAGGACCGCCAAGATGGCCGCCACGAGGCAAGAACGAAAGCAGAGATCTGCGAAAAATTGAGATTTAATAAAAGAAAAATTATTTCAATTATCCTAGAATATTACACAGGGTGATCCATCAATCCCTTCACAATTCAAAAATTAACACAAATTTTTAAAAAAATTGATAAAAATACCTTCCAATTTTTTCAATGTTTCAACTTACGAACCATCTTATACATCCAAACTTCAACCCACATAACGTTCCACGAAGCACACAGCCTCTCTAAACCCGGATTAAGTCGCTTAATCACATAATCCTCCACAATAAAGCAAATTTGATACGCGTGGTATTAAAATCCAAGATCAACCAATCTCGAGATGCTGTTTAATCAAGCTCGCACAAAGTGCACACTAAATACGTAACAGCAGTTATCTGTCTCGACGAATCTCTATAATTCCTTCAAGCTAACACAAGTATCTTAAAAAGAAAACCAGACAGAAATTTTGGAAAAAGGAAAAATCGTTACAGAGAAAAAGATGTTCGTTGAAAATGACAATAATCACGACGTCGAGATGCTTCTCTCTTCTCTCGAACGTGACACAGCTAGACGCGAGAAGAAGAGATAAGATGGAAGACGTTCATAAATCGTGTTGGTACTTGCGTCAACAGAGAGCTCGGTTTTCACGAAATTCCGCCTCTGTTTGGCGCCATGACACCTCCGATTGGGAGGGTAAAGGGTGTCCTCGACACCGAAACGGCACAGTCGTCCGATCCGGCGCTCGATCAGAAGTGAAATCTGGCTGGTATCTTGCTCGTGCACCTGGAATACGTGATTTTAGTTCTGTTTCGGGACGACTGGCTAAACGTTCGTCGATCGTTCTTCCGTGTCACCTGTTGCAACTCGTATTTCTCCCTTTTTCTTCGAGTGATCCGAATTGCCTGTTATTTTTCAATTAATTCTTCTAACAATTAGAAAAAGGTTACCTTCTTGGGGAATTAATTTTTTTTTTCTTTTTCGTCCAGTTATTGGTGCACTTTCTCGAAGGAGATGGTTTTTCGTTTAAGAAGGAGTTACGCTGAACTGACTGTTTCCTGAAAGAGTTGCAATTAATCTTCACGCGTGATAAGTGACGTGGATTAAAATAGGGAGAACACTAGTTGCTCGGTAACTCGTCGGTAAGCATTCCAAAGTTTTATATCGCCTCGACTACGCGATAAGCAGAGAGAATTGCTGGCTTGTCTGAATGGTTTCACCTCGTTTCCGTGGATTTTTACGCCGTCACGCTGTCGGCGCCGACCCGCTTCGAAACGCGGCGTCGATACCGTGCTCTATTCGATCGAGCGATCAGGGATCGTGTTTTGTAACCGGTTGAAAAATTTCACGCGATGGGGTAGATTGAATCAATTTCTCTGTGCGGATGAGTCTTTTGGAGGACAGAGTGAAAGAAATTTGTCACTTATCTTTGTTCACCTATGAGAGGGAAATTGGATCTCCCTGATTTATCATTAACAGACTGTGGACCTTTATGCAAATCTAGAATACAGCGAAAAATGTGGAATTTCTGAAACTACAATTTTTATCATTTCTGAAAACTGTAATTTGAATGCTTTCTATATTTTCTCGTGAATTTTTTGGATAGAGTGAAAGAAATTTGTCGTTTATCTCTGTTCATCTTTGAGAAAAAAATTCGATCTCCCTGATTTACTACTAATAGTTCGTGAATTTTTTGGATAGAGTGGAAGAAATTTATCATTTGTCTTTGTTCATCTTTGGATCTCCCTGATTTATCGTTAATAGACTGCGAATTTTTATGCAAATTTATATTTTTTTTTCTATATTTTTTCGTGAATTTTTTGGATAGAGTGGAAGAAATTTATCATTTGTCTTTGTCCATCTTTGGATCTCCCTGATTTATCGTTAATAGACTGCGAATTTTTATGCAAATTTATATTTTTAGAGTACAGTGAAAGGAAAGTTGAATTTCTATAATTTCTGAAAACTATAGTTTGGATATTTTGCATATTTTATCATATTACACGCATCTGCGAATTTTTATGCAAATTTGGAATACAGCGAAAAATGTGGAATTTCTGAAACTACAATTTTTATCATTTCTGAAAACTGTAATTTGAATGCTTTCTATATTTTCTCGTGAATTTTTTGGATAGAGTGAAAGAAATTTGTCGTTTATCTCTGTTCATCTTTGAGAAAAAAATTCGATCTCCCTGATTTACTACTAATAGACTGCGAATTTTTATGCAAATTTGGAATACAGCGAAAAATGTTGAATTTCTGAAACTGCAATTTCTAAAAACCGTAATTCCCATATTTTCTATATTTTTTCATATTACATGCAATCTGTGCAATTCTGCCACCTTCAAGTTTCCTCCAAACAAATGCCCAAAGATCTGCAGACTAATAATTAAAAATGAGTAAAAATTCCTACCAACGCAAGCATAAAAGTGCAATTAGAAATGAACGATCCCTCGATCGATAAATTATTGTGTTCTTATTATGATCGATCGATCGTAGAGTTAACAGGATTAGGCGATATATAGGTTGCTCGTGAATTGAAACGAGGTATAACAGGAAAGTTTAAGTATTCGACGGTTAAACGGGTCGAGGAGGATGTTTCTACGTCGACCAAGTATTCCGAAGAAGTCTCTCGTGCATTTTCCACTCCGAGTAGTTAATACCCTATGCAGGAAGATCTCTGGAGCAACGTTTGAACAAGCTGAAGATAAATTTGCGTTCTGTGAATTTTTCACTTTCGACGACACGCATGTCAAAATTACTTCGGGAAACAACGTCTACGTTATCGTTGACACGTTCTCCGCCACGTGTACCGTGAATCGTGTATATGTAGATAGGTGGAAGGGTATTTCGAATTATGTAAAAGGGAGATTAAAATGTCAAATAATTTTTGTGTAATTTGATACTTTAACATGACCGCTTATGATTTTTGCAGCAATTTGTTACGTTTCTGGGATCTGAGATCGTGGAAATCACCCTCTTGGCGGGATAGAGCCATCAATTTTCATATGCAGCAGAGAGATTAATTCGAAGTGTCGAGAATTCAGTGTTAGCAATATTTTTCTATATTTCAGTATTTTCTTTGGTTTTTTGTATCCAATATTTTCTTTATTTTCTCATTTATTTTTCTGGAATTACATATTTTCTTTATTTTTCTGTAATTCCATATTTCATATTTTACGACTTTCGTTTCACGGTTCTGCCGGTTTCATATTTCACGACTTTCGTTTCACGGTTCTGCCGAACCTCGCAATTTTATCTCATTAAACAAATAATTTCAATCGCTCATCTCAATTTCCCGTTAAAAAATAAATTTCAATCGCCCATCTCAGTTTCTCATTTCCTCATTTTTCTGTAATTCAATATTTTCTCATTTATTTTTCTGGAATTCAATATTTTCTTATTTATTTTTCTGTTATTCAATATTTTCTTTATTTTCTCATTTATTTTCCTGTAACTCAATATTTTCTTTATTTTTCTGTAATTCCATATTTCATATTTCACGACTTTCGTTTCACGGTTCTGCCGAATCTCGCAATTTTATCACATTAAACAAATAATTTCAATCGCTCATCTCAATTTCTCATTTTTTAATTTTTCTATATTTCAGTATTTCATTTTTTACGACTTTCCCGTTAAAAAATAAATTTCAATCGCCAATCTCAGTTTCTCATTTCTCCATTTTTCTGGAATTCAATATTTTCTCATTTATTTTTCTGGAATTCAATATTTTCTTATTTATTTTTCTGTAATTACATATTTTCTTTATTTTTCTGTAATTCCATATTTCATATTTCACGACTTTCGTTTCACGGTTCTGCCGAACCTCGCAATTTTATCTCATTAAACAAATAATTTCAATCGCTCATCTCAATTTCCCGTTAAAAAATAAATTTCAATCGCCAATCTCAGTTTCTCATTTCTCCATTTTTCTGGAATTCAATATTTTCTCATTTATTTTTCTGGAATTCAATATTTTCTTATTTATTTTTCTGTAACTCAATATTTTCATTATTTTTCTGTAATTCCATATTTCATATTTTACGACTTTCGTTTCACAGCTCTGCCGAACCTCGCAATTTTATCACATTAAGCAAATAATTTCAATCGCTCATCTCAATTTCTCACTTTTTAATTTTTCTATATTTCAATATTTCATATTTCACTACTTTCCTATCACAGTTCTACTGCAACCTCGCAATTTCTTCTCATTAAACAAATCACGACTTTCGTTTCACAGCTCTGCCGAACCTCGCAATTTTATCTCATTAAACAAATAATTTCAATCGCTCATCTCAATTTCTCACTTTTTAATTTTTCTATATTTCAATATTTCATATTTCACTACTTTCCTATCACAGTTCTACTGCAACCTCGCAATTTCTTCTCATTAAACAAATAATTTCAATCGCTCATCTCAATTTCTCCTTAAAAACTAAATTTCAATCGCCCACCTCAGTTTTTCATATCTTCATTTTTCTGTAATTCCATATTTAACAACTTTCCTTTCGCAGTTCTGCTGAAACCTCCAATTTCTCTCTCCCTAAAAACTAAATCTCAATCGCTCGTCTCAATTCCCCATTAACCAAGAAAAATCTGAAAAAGTCCAACAATTTCGATTCCTCGTTGATCAAACAACGTCACCTCCGCAAAATTTCCGCAACGAACAAAAACACCGGTGACGTAAGTGGATAGTTGGTGAAAATCAACCTCCCAGCGAGACACTTGCCATCAATTTCACTTTCTAACAGGGGCAATTAGCCTCTCGCGTCGGAGTCTCGGTCGACACGCCGTTACATCAGCCCAATTAACCAGCCTAATCGCGGCGAAGTATATCGTCACGGTCGGGTTGCGCGTATTATCCACGGAATCGATGTCCGATGTACTGTGCAACGCGGAGGCTATGCCCAACCGGGCGTTTGTTCAGTGGCTCGTGGCCACGGTCAGCCGCACGTGACTGAATTTGCTTTGTCCAACGTGAAAAATACACGCGTCAAGTGGAGCGTGTGCATTCTTCACGTTCGATTCGTATACGTAAGCGATAGACGGTGGTACAGTGAGATATCAACGCGGCACGATCATCTGCCGGCCCGTACTCTTTCTCCAACTAGAACACGCCGTGACGTTGATACGCGCGCCTCGCTCCAGCGAATTCGCGAATCGTTCGGTGAACAGAGTGGTCCACGCTTCGACGCCACGATGACAGGTCGATTTTTATATCACATTACTTTTTGCCACCTATCTCGAAACACGCTATTTCCAACAGTTCAACGCACAGTTTTCCTTTCCTTGGGACGTTCGAATTCCGACGGTTTGTTCATTGGTATTGCAGGTGTTGATTAAGTTGCGGATGAAGTTTCTTCGAGTTCTTTTCATATTTGAGTTACGTGCATGGACCAGTGTTTTTTTTTTTTTTTTTTATGTACAAGCTAGTTTACGTTGGAATTTTTATGAAAGTAGAATTGATAAAAGTCGATTAACAGAGGTCAGACAATTTGTCGGTTTTTTGATGATTATGTTAAGTTAACATCGTGGTCGATTGTGTGTTTACGGTATAACACGTGACACGTGCTCTTTGGTCGTGTTTCGATTGGAGATCGTGTTCGATTTAATTCGTTCTGAGAATTTAATTGGAATTTTCAAATTCTAAAACGCGAATGCAAGTTTGAATTTTGAAATTCGAAACTATGAATTTCGATTGGAATCTTTAAATATAAATTTCAACTTTATCTTTCGTCAGTCTGCTGAATTTTTACGACACCGTCATAATTCGAAATTCGTTATCGCTTTGTTCGCATCGGTTCGAAGCCTCGGATCACTGAAATCTCATTTGATGGATCCGAGGATAAGGTAGATTTAAAGTTGATCAGATGAGATAAATCGAGCCTCTTTCGCGTGTCATTATCTTACAATTGCGAAAAAGAAGAGAACAGAATCCCGTCAGACTAACTCGGAATTATATCGACTGACCTCTAACCTACATTAGAAAATAATTATTCACGTGTCACTCACGAGACGTATACTTGAAACCTGGAAAACGCTTTCCAGTGTTCCCAAACACTTTCCTTCCATTCCCTGTCTACCACGTGGCCGAGCACATTTCACGACACGTTCTTCTCATGCCGGAGATAAGTTTACGTAATTTTGCATAGACGCAACGTAGATAAACTGCTTACTCGTTAATCCCCGTTTCTACATGCCTCAGTACAATGTTCGTTATGAACATTTCAAGTTCCACGTGCGCGTTGTACAATCGAATCTCCGAGAAATTTCCCGGGAATTTTCAATCTCGGGGACGAGAAAACGAAGATTGACGAGGCACGTGTAATTCGCAGACGATCTGAGCGACGACATGTCGGCAGTCAACCCGGAATTAACGGTGCGACGGCCGGTTTATCAACAGGACGAGCTTAATCACCTGTGTAAATACGTGAAGCCTAATAGAACGCGTAAGTATCGCAGGGATTTCGATCGAGCGAATCTGAGAATCACGGCGCCAAACGCGGTGGCATCGCACGGTGAAAGAATGAAAACTTTGCTCGATTGTTCTTCACACCTGTTTCATTCTCTGAACGGAAAAATATCTTCCTTCCTCGTGGAATTCTTTTGCGAAATATGCGATTAGCAGAATTTTTGCAAATTCTGCGAAATTATATGCGAAATACACGAGAATAATGTTAGAATTTTACCAACTATGCTGTGGATTAAGAGATTCTAACGTTACCCTCGTGTAGTTTGTTCAGAGATTAGTGTTACTTTAATTGTAATCTGTGAAGCTTAGGAAGATACTAAAACCAACATACTGCGTTTACTGTGTTAAAATGATTACACTTGCACAATGTAACGTTGCGTAACAAAGATTAACTGCTTTTTGTCATATTAATAAATCATTTGATTCGCTTTGAAAATTAATCTGTCTCTTTCATTTAACACCTTTAACTCCTTTCTGTATGTTGATTAACGGTAGAAGAACAGCAAGTTAGCAATTTTCCCTAAAGTGATTTTTCGTGTAATTTAAATATGGTTGAAAAATTAAATTCATATCGATAGAGATAGAAATATACCTGCAAATAATAATAATACTGAACGTTTAATTTTTTTGGAAAGTTGCTAACGGGTCACTTTTGACCCGGCCGATTTTTCTGGCGTTGATCGTTGGAAGAATGGCTGATTATTAACGAGAAAAATTCAAGGAATTTGCGTTTATTGTTGACGAATATCACAGTTATGAAGAGCATATCAACTAAATGCAAGAGAATCAAACCAATGACGGTTCTAAAGAGTACTGTACCACTGATCGGCTGGTTGTCGACTTACAACTGGAAGAACGACATACTGGGCGACATCATTGCTGGAATTACCGTGGCAGTGATGCATATCCCTCAAGGTACGAACGTTTGCCAAGAACGTGATTTACGCACGAACGATCGTGCATGAGAAAAAACGGTCGTCGAATGGTAAAATGAGAAAATGTTAGCAAAATTCACCTTGGAGGATGAATGAACCGAGATGCGCTGCTGTAAGAATGTCACGAGTACTCGAGAAGAGTGTATATATTCTGGAAATTTGAATAACAGTGTTAAATGCTTAAATTGTCCTTTCTTGCCTTGGATTAGCTAAGCGAGAATGCCAGGAATTTTGTTAGATTTGAGTAACTTGGACTTTTCCCTTTTTAGCGCTCTGTATTTTATAATTAAAAATTGGGAAGTCTTTTAATATTCTAATTTTAAAATTCTCAAATTCTTAAATTCCCAAATTCTCACATTCTCAGATTCTCAAATTCTCAAAATCTCAAATTCTCAAATTCTCACATTCCCAAATTCTCAAACTCTCAAATTCTCAAATTCTTAAACTCTCAAATTCTCAAAATCTCAAATTCCCAAATTGTTAAAATCTCAAATTTTTTAATTCTCAAATTCTTAAGCTCTCAAATTCTTAAATTCTCAAATTTTTAAATCTCAAATTCTCAAACTCTCAAATTCTCAAATTCTCACATTCCCAAATTCCTAAATTCTCAAACTCTCAAATTCTTAAAATCTCAAATTCTCAAATTCTTAAACTCTCAAATTCTTAAACTCTCAAATTCTCAAATTCTTAAAATTTCCAATTCTCAAATTCTTAAATTCTCAAATTCTCAATTTTTCAAATTCTTAAACTCTCAAATTCTCAAATTCTTAAAATTTCCAATTCTCAAATTCTTAAATTCTCAAATTCTCAATTTTTCAAATTCTTAAACTCTCAAATTCTCAAATTCTTAAAATTTCCAATTCTCAAATTCTTAAATTCTCAAATTCTCAATTTTTCAAATTCTTAAACTCTCAAATTCTCAAATTCTTAAAATTTCCAATTCTCAAATTCTTAAATTCTCAAATTTCCAAATAGTTAAAATCTCAAATTTTCAAATTCTCAAATTTTTTAATTCTCAAATTCTTAAGCTCTCAAATTCTTAAATTCTCAAATTCCCAAATTCCCAAAATTTCCTTCAGTGATAATACTAAAATCAGTATCAAATACTTTCTACCACCTCAAATCCACGAATAATAATTTTCTCTCAAGAATAGCTCTTCGATTTACTAAAATCCTTTTCCTCGTACACTCGACTATTCTTGACCTAGTCACACCATAATCAATGCAATCACGTTGCAGGAATGGCGTATGCAATATTGGGTAACGTGCCGCCAATCATCGGCATCTATATGGCTTTCTTTCCTGTCCTCGTTTATCTTTTCCTCGGCACATCCAGGCATAATTCGATGGGTAAGTAATACACGAGCATCGTTCAATCATCTAACGATTCTCATTATGCAATACGGAAGCCTCCTGGCGTTGTTCTTTCTCCTTTTCTCCTGCTAACTCAAAAGGATGTTTAAACTATACACGGAAGGACTACTAAGCTCATCTAAACGTTAATAGAACGAAGTCGGTGATTTAATAAGGGGAAATGATTCTCACTGATTTTTTCAGCGCACAGTTCTCGTAATTCGACAACGCTTCCTCGCGTCCGCTTCCTTCTAACTTTCATTTCGACTCCACTTTCCAACGTTGGTTGAACAAAATCGTCACGCAATTACGCGTGCAGTATCCTTACTGCTTTTTCCTCTTGCAACAACGTTTTATGCTACCTCGTTGTTACAAGCACCTGTTAGCATAGCTAATTTGACGTTTCCAAAAAAATTTCGATTCTCCTTTCAAATCAAACTTACACCTCCAAAATGATTACAAAGTAGCTACAATAATTTCACAAAAGAGGGGTTTCGAACCAACCTTCAAATGCCAAAAAGTAAAATTTTCTGGAGAACCAAAGTATCTCCAATAATTTCATAAATGAAGCGTTCCAAATGTAAGATGTCCCTTAAAATAGAAAACAAAGCTGAAAAAATTCAAAATGAATTAAGAAACAAAGGTGAGAAAATTCAAAATGAATTCAAACAATGTAAAAAGAAATAATTATCATAGATCGCCCCTGAAATCAGGCAACTTTTACTTCACACACTTCTTCGAGTACCCAACTTCAAGTCAACCGAATCACTCCGTATAACAATTGAACAGCGTTTCTAGGTCCACGCATCATCTTCAGATCGCCATAAATTTAATTAAAATCCCCAACTTGCCCGTGTCAAGGTACCTTCGCGCTGATTTGCATGATGACCGGGAAGGTGGTCACGACTTACAGCTCCCATGGCCAGCTATCTAGAAACTCGACCGCAGAGAGCGATCTACCATTGTCCTCCGCGAACGATCGATATTCCCCTGTGGAAGTCGCGACCGCGGTTACCTTCACCGTGGCCCTCATTCAGGTAAATCGTCCTTCTTCCACGCGACCGAGTAATTAGCAATTTTTTGTTTTTTCCATCTACAGCGAATTATCCTTGTTTTCAGTTAGGAATGTATCTGTTGCGATTGGGAGTGATAGCAAACCTTCTGACAGACAGCCTCGTGAGCGGATTCACCACTTCTGCGGCGGTTCACGTGTTCACTTCTCAGGTGAACGATCTACTTGGCCTGAGGAATCTGGCGAAACGCAAAGGACCCTTCAAATTGATCCTTGTGAGTGTAACGTGGTGATTTCTTCACGGTGATGTTCGTGTGAGACACTGAGAAGGAGGGGAAGTGATTAACTCCAGATTTTGATATTCTGATCATTTTTGGTATCGAAGTATGTGCTTAGTTCAATTGTTCGTAAATGAAACATATTTCGTAAATTTAATTTATAGGCTTAACTGAGGGCAAATATAGGTCGATGCGAAGAATTTCTTTCCCCTTTTCCATATTCTGACAATTTCAGTATAAAATTTTTTCCTAAATGGATATTTATAAATAAACATTATTTTTCATAATTTTTTCGTAAATAAAAGAAATTTCATAAATTTTATTTGACAGAGTCTGTCGCTTAGGCTTCTGAACAGCTCCTGTATTAGGTCACTCCATAAATATTATGTCACTCTATAAATTCGTGAAGAATTTTGTGAACTGAAACTTTGATATTTCGAACCTATCTTGAAATTTTACGATAAACTTAATCGTCTTTTCCTTCCACAAATTCTTCCCCCTTTTTGACAAAGCCAAAAAATTCTTCTGTGACCGAATTATTTTTTCAAAGAATTTGTTACCTATCTAGCGTTCGTCGATTTGTTCAGTGAGAAGAGACAGAAGAGGTCGATTTAAAAATTGAATGTTTCATTCGTTGAGGGAAATTTAGAATCACGTTGTATAACGAAGCGATCGTAACGAACGAGCATAGGGACCCTTAGGTTAATCGATTGACCTGTCCCAGCCATCGACAGGTATACACTTACTTTCTCCGTGATCGTAACGTAGGAAGCAAATAAATTCAGTAAGATTTTCGATTGAAACTTCTTAACGAGCATTTCAATACTCACCGACAGGAAATCATTCTTAAAAGAACACTACAACGTTACTTAACATCGATAAGAAACACACTTGTCAAACAGAACTATCGATTTTGTCATCCTAGCTCTCGTAAGTAAACAGAAATTCTTATTTGAACCATCAACCGAGCAATTCCATTTCATCGACGTACACACATGTACAGAGTGTCTCGTTTATTTAACATCTAAATTATTTCCACTGCTAGTAAAAGCGAAAAAAGTTGACTAAAGGAGGAAAAAGTCGAGATAATCTTGAAGATTGTTCGTCAGAACGAGTTCAATGACCTATGACATCACACCTCGACCAACGCAAAAATAACGAAACAAGCATAATATCAAAAAAATATGATCTCGAGGGATAGGTTTTATTATATTTTCTGAACTTTTAATAACAGAAAAATGATTTCGACGTTGATTACAAGTGAGACACCCGGTACACGTTTATAACAGCATCCGTAATCCTCGTGTGACGATAGTCAATCAGTTCGACACCTGATCGTCGATGATCGTTTCACCAATTACTCGCCGACTGGATCTCACCGATCCTAATCGAATCACTTGTCACCTGTGTCTATACAATACCGACCCGAGCGAATAATCAACACGTAAGGAAATTTTTCCTAGAGATAAGAACGTTTACCCAGAGCAAAGCAGTCGAACGGCGTCTTTCTTTGTTTCTCGTCGCCAGAACGACCGGACCACTGTGCGTGTACATACTGCGATCGTTAAGTCACATTATCAGGTGTGTTGTCACGATGAAACCGCGATTCTTTTATTGGGACCTTGTAACAGAGGACCAGTTCGAAACGCTCGAAAATAGTAGATACCGCGCGAGGGGAGGTTTAACGAAATAATCTTTGGCAAATATTTGGAAAGTGTAGCAACGGGTGTTTAACCGGAATATTTCATATTTCTGTTGTCTCTCTCTCTCTATCGTTCGATTACGATCGTGTGTCTTCTGTTCGCAAATATCAATTTTTGAACTTCTCTCTGGTGTGAAAAATAAGAGATACGAAGTTTGAAGAGAGGAATTTTTTTCTTTTTTAATCACTCCGTGCAAAGTTAAAGAGTCACTTTGAAAAGTCACCGAATAAAAAATTGAGAAATCTTTTTCGAAACTCACTCGGTGAAAAATTACGAAATCTTTTTCAGAAGATATTCGGTAAAAAATTGAAGCATCTTTTTTTGAAAAGTCACTCAGTAGAAAATCGCGAAATCTGAAGAAATCCGTTCAAAAGCACTCGATAAAAATTCAACCCCCATTTTTCGCTCGATGAAAAATCTTCTCGTTGGAAACTCGATTACGTTAACGAGAACTCGAAACGGCCCCAATTTTACGAATTATTCTTCCCCCGAAGTAGCAAAACAATTCGATCCTTGAAATTCTCTCTTTCGCGTGAATTCACTTCGCCAGGAATTAACGAGCCGTGTCTGTCGGCAGACCTAATTTTCAACCACGTCCATTCATGCATAAACGAGAAACCTCGAATATCGTCGAACCTTGCGTCCTTCCACTTCGACTGACACTTGGAAAAAAATAGCGATCAAACTTTCGGGTAATTTACAACGAATTACGACAGCGTAGAAACACGACACCTTTTATCACGCGATAAATCTAACCGTTACGCTAACGACTATCAGTTATGGCAATTCCATTAACGTTTATTACGTCCCATTATACTCCACTTCCTGGTCTTTGTCTCCCTCGAGGATTTACAGCGTGCACTTCCGGTTGGTTCCCGGCGACAGGAAAACCAGGAGAGAATCGAAAAAGTAAAAGTCGCTAATCACATTCCCTTCATGCCAAATAAGTCCGAGCATCGCGTAGAACGATTATTCTACAGCTTTGTCGTTTCCGACATGGATCGCGATCCTTTCAGAGAACCGGATTCTCATTTCTATCGCGTCAAGAGACAGGTGAATTCCCCACCGGTCACTCTCCAACGTTGATTACCCGTTAAAACGGGGAAACGAGATCCGGAGGATGTGGATTTCGAGATTTTGCCGTATGGAAATGAAAGATCTTTCCTGGAAAAATTGAAAATTTTAATTGAAAATAGGTATGGAGATTGGAGGATTGAGAATTTCGGGAATTTTACTCGTAGCATTTGGATTCCAGGCTACTGTCGTGGCGAATGAGAGATTTTTATTGGAAAAGTTATTAAAAATACGTATGTTGATTCGAAAATTGAGAATTTGTGGAATTTTACTGGGAATATCTAGATTTCAAGCGTTTGTCGCAGAGAAACGAAAGATCTTTGCTGGAAAAATTAAAAATACTAAATTGGAGAATTGAGAATTTCAGGAATTTTACTCGGAGCATTTAGATCCCAAGCTTTTGCCGCAGGGAAACGAAAGATCTTTCCTGGAAAAATTATTAGAAATACGTATGTAAATTCGAAAATTGAGAATTTCAGGAATTTCACTCGGAATATCTGGATTTCAAGCTTGTGTCGCAGAGAAACGAAAGATCTTTCCTGGAAAAATTAAAAATTAAAATTAAAAATACGTATGTGAATTCGAAAATTGAGAATTTCAGGAATTTCACTCGGAGCATCTGGATTCCAAGCTTGTGTCGCAGGGAAACGAAAGATCTTTGCTGGAAAAATTAAAAATACTAAATTGGAGGATTGAGAATTTCAGGGATTTTACTCGGAGCATTTAGATCCCAAGCTTGTGCCGCAGGAAAACGAAAGATCTTTCCTGGAAAAATTATTAAAAATATGTAAATTGAAGAATTGAGAATTTCAGGAATTTCACTCGGAGCATCTTGATTCCACGCTATTGTCGTGGCGAATGAGAGATTTTTCCTGGAAAAATGATTAAAAATACGTATGTAAATTTGAAAACTGAGAATTTGAGGAATTTTACTCGGAATATCTGGATTTTAAATTATTGTCGCAGAGAAATGAAAGATCTTTCCTGGAAAAATTAAAAATACTAAATTGGAGGATTGAGAATTTCAGGGATTTTACTCGGAGCATTTAGATCCCAAGCTTTTGCCGCAGGGAAACGAAAGATCTTTCCTGGAAAAATTATTAAAAATATGTAAATTGAAGAATTGAGAATTTCAGGAATTTCACTCGGAGCATCTGGATTCCACGCTATTGTCGCGGCAAACGAAAGATTTTTCTTCATTTTTTGCATACTTTTTTGCGAATGAAATAAAATTAGGTTATCGGCGACAATTCTGTGTACAAATCTGTAGAGGATAGTTTAAAAGAGTCTAGATATACCTGTAAAAAAGCATCGAAACGTTTCTTATCTAACATAAATGATCGAGAAAGTATTCTAATGTTCAAGGAACTTCGTAATCCTCTTTGATTTGTTATCGAAGAAAAAAAGTTGGAGCACTTACAATATCGAAATTTTCACTATTTTGCAATGCCGAGTAAAACACGTGCATCCTTGATAGTTAAGGTGTTAGCTTAGCGATAGAATTGCGAACAACAGAGACAAAGGAACCGCTGTATGCTTAATGCAACGGCAGTTTCACTGATTGTGTTTCGTTTGCGTAACAAGATTGAACTTTTAGAGTACGGAATAATTTAATGATGCATAAGGTCGATTATGTAAGAAATCCTGTGTCTGTTTCATATAGTGCAACTTAAAAAAAACAAACAAATAAATGACTTACTTTCTAAATCAATTTCTCGTTTAATTTAATTTCTATTTTCTATCCATATTTCTTCTGTTGTCTGTCTATATTATTTTGCATACAAATACTTCAATCTTATGTCTGTTTCATACACTACAATTTCTTCTTTTTTTTTAAATTAATTTTTCATTTATCTTAATCTATCGATATTTTGTCTGTTGCCTGTCTATAACGTTCTGCCCACCAGTGTAAGTAAATAAATAAAATAAAATTGCAATATTAAATTGCTCTCGTTTAATATTGTTTCAGAGTTACGTAGACATTCTAAACGATTTAGGAAACGTCAATGGCGCCGCTCTCTTGCTATCCGCCGCCACCATTTTGATCCTCATCCTCAACAATGCTTTAAAGGTTGCTCCAAAGATTCTCTTATCTCTGAGATAATTATTAAAAAGTGAAATACAAAAATTGTATTTTTTTGCAGCCAAGAATTGCAAAGCTGAGTCCATTCCCAATTCCCATAGAGATGCTGGCGGTCATAATCGGCACAATTCTCTCGGTGTACATGAATCTGGCGGACGTTTATGGCATCGTGGTAGTTGGTCACATACCAGTCGGGTAATCAAGTTTGTCGGAGTAACATTATTCGTAACTGTTACGTTCATTTATACCGTGTTACATTGTAAGATGCTCGATACAACTTTCTCTCTTGTCTCTTCCTAGATTACCGGTTCCCTCTTTGCCGCCGTTGTCTTTGGTGCCGAATATTATAATCGACAGCTTCGTGATCACTATGGTGTCCTACACCATATCCATGTCAATGGCGTTGATCTTCGCGCAGAAGTTCAGCTACGAAGTGGACTCCAACCAAGAACTAATGGCGCAGGTACGTTTGGGAATCTTTATGCTGTGGAGTTCGAAACTTTGAATTTGAATTCTTAAATTCAAAAATTTGAATTTGAATGTGAATTTGAAAATTTCAAAGTTCGAATTAGAATTTATAAATTTGAAAAGTTTAAATTAGACTTAGAATTTCTAAATGTCTATATTTTTAAA